TGGCCAGCCATCGGGCCTAAGATAGGGGATAATTGGGTCAGCGGCCTTGGGAGTAAGACAGTTGAGGATATTTTATGGCGGGCCCCTGGCCTTGAAGAATAAGCAGCTGGCCTGGGCAAGGCCAAGTCAGCCACACATCAAACTTCTGATAATTAAAGAACGCGACCCCAAGTTCACCCTGGCCTTCTGTAAAACAGCCAATAGGGACCCTGTAACTATGCTTCTCGCTTCTGTAACTGCGCCTCTGCTCCTGAAATCCCATAAAAAGTCCCCTTTGCCCTCGGTAGGCGCGCAAGTCCTCCGAGAGACTTGGCCCCAGGTACCTGTGCATCTAATAAAGCCTCTTGCTGTTTGCATCTGATCTGTGGTTTCGGTGTGTTTCCCGGGTCTGGGGTCTCTCCCTGAGGAAGATCTCCCCTGGGGGTCTTTCAGTATGATTTTCAAGAAGGCAGTAATTTGAAGTATTTATTGATATAAGCACCCCATTTTAATTGAATTATTTGTTTTGTCAATGTCTAGTGTCTTGAGTTCTTTTATATTTTGGATATTAGGCCTCTGTCAGATGTGGAGTTGGTGAAATTATTTTCTCCATTCTGTAAGCTGCTACTTTGTCCTATTTCTGTTTGTCATTTGTCTTACAGAAGATTTTCACTTTCATGAGGCCCCATTTATTAATTGTTGAAATTAGTGCCTGCGCTATTGGTGTTCCCTTCAGAAAGTCTCCTGTGCCAGTGAGTTCAAAGTTATTCTCCACTTTCGCTTCTATCAGGTTCAGTGTATCTTGTTTTATGTTGAAATCTTTGATCCACTTCGACTTGAATTTTGTGTACCATGATAGGTATGGATCTATTTGCACTCTTCTACATGCCACCATCCAATTAGACCAGCATCCTTTGTTGAAGATGCTTTCCTTTTTCCATTGTATATTTCTGGCTTCTTTATCAAAACTTGGGTGTCCATGGGTGTGTGGATTTAGGGCTGGGTTTTTGAATCATTTCCATTGACCAACTTACTTCTTTTTATGCTAATACCATGAGGTTTTATTACTACAGCTCTGTAGTACAGATTGAAATCAGGGATGGTGATACCTCCAGAATTTCTTCTATGGTATAGGATTGTTTAACTATCCAGTGTCTTTTTTTTTCATGTGAAGTTGATTATTGTTCTTTCAAGGTCTGTAAAGAACAGTATCAAAATTTTGACGGGGATTGTGTGGAAACTGTAAATTGCCTTTGGTAAGATGGCCATTTTTACTATGTTAATCCTACTGATCTACATGCAAGGGAAATATTTCCATCTTCTGATATCTTTAATTACTTTCTTCCAAGTCTTGAAGTTTTTATCATACAAATCTTTCACTTGCTTTGTTAGAGTTATCTCATGATACTTTATTTGTGGCTATTGTGAAGGGTGTTTTTTTCCTCTGACTTCTTTGTCAGCCTGTTTGTCATTCATCTATAGTAGGGCTACTGATTTATTTTGAGTAAATCTTGTATCCAGTCAATTAACTGAAAGTGTTTATCAACTATAAGAATTCTCTGATAGAATCTTTGGAGTTGCTTGTGTATACTATAATATCATCTGCAATTAATGATACTTTGACTTCTTCTTTTCCAACTTGTATCCCCCTGATCTCCTTCAGTTTTCTTATTCATTTAACTAGAACTTCAAGTACTATATTGAATAGATATGAAGAGAGTAGACAGCCTTGTCTTGTCCCTGATTTTAGTGAGATTGCTTTGAGTTTCTCTACATTTAATTTTATGTTGGCCATAGGCTTGTTGTAAATTGTCTTTATTATCTTTAGGTATTTCCTTTGTATCCTGATCTCTCCAAGACCTTTATCATGAAGGAGTGTTGGATTTTGTCAAAGGCTTTTTCAGCATCCAATGAGGTGAGTTTTTTTTTCATTCAGTCTCTTTATATGGTGGAATTTATTGACACATTTTTGTATGTTGAACCATTCCTGAATCTCTGGGATGAAGCCCACTTGATCATGGTGGATGATCATTTGGATGTGTTCTTGGATTTGGTTTGCAAGAATTTTATTGAATATTTTTGCATCTATGTTCATAAGGGAAATTTGTCTGTAATTCTCTTTCTTTGTTGAATCGTTATATGGTTTAGATATCAGGGTGACTGTGACCTCATAAAATGAATGTTCTTTTTGTTTCTATTTTTTGGAATAATTTCAGGATTCCTAGAATTAGGTATTTTTTAAAATTCTGGATGAGTTATGCACTAAAATTTTCTGGCCATGGGCTTTCCTTGGTTGCCAGAATTTTAATGACTGCTTCTATTTCCTTGGGGGCTATGTGTAGCCAGAAGTCCTCCTGTGTCCCACCTGGTCCACAGCTGCTCAGACCCAAATAAACACACAGAGGCTTATATTAATTAAAACTGCTAAGCCATTAGCTCAGGCTTACCACTGACTAGCTCCTACACTCAAACTCAGCCCATTTCTGTTAATCTATATGTTGCCACATTTTCCATGGCTTTACCTGCATGCCATTACATGCTGCTCTCTGGATGGCAGGCTGACATCTTCTAACTTGGCCTTCCTCTTCCTAGAATTCTCCTGGTCTGCTTATCCCTCCTATACTTCCTGCCTGGCTACTGGCTGCCAATCAGCAATTTATTAAACCAGTGTACAAAAGCATTATCCCACAGAAGCTATAGGTCTGTTTAAATGTTTATCTGATCTTGATTTAACTTTGCTAAATGGTATCTATTTTTTTAAAAAATGTTAATTTCTTTCAGATTTTTAAATTTTGAGGAATACAGGTTTTTAAAGTATGACCTAATGATTCTTTGAATTTCCTTGGTGCTTATTTTTATGCCCTTCTTTTCACTTCTGATTTGCTAATTGGATATTCTCTGTCTTCTTTTTAGTTTAGATAAGAGTTTGTCTGTTTTGTGTATTTTCTCAAAGAACCAACTGTTTGTTTCCTTGATTCTTTATATTGTTCTTTTTGTTTCTATTTTATTGAGTTTATCCTTCAGTTTGGTTATTTCCTGTTGTCTCCTCCTCTTGGGTGTACTTACTTCTTGTACTAGAGCTTTCAGGTGTGCTATGTAGTTGCTAGTATGAGATCTCTCCAATATTTTACTGCTATGAACTTACCCCTTAGCACCACTTTCATTGTGTCCCATGACTTTGTGTATGTTATACATTCATTTTCATTGAATTTATAGAAGTCTTTAATTTCCATTTTATTTGCAAATAGGATTTATTGTTCAATTTATCATGTTTTACTCTATGCTTTGATGAAAATGTTTATAATCTGAAAACAAGACAATATTTTGGTGATGTAATCCTTAAACTAATGTTATTTGAGATTAGTGAGAAAACTCAGTGGGAAATGTCTGTGGTGTCTCTTTATTTCTTCCTTGACCCATTGGCAATTCAGTAGAGAGTTGTTTAGTCCCAATTAGTTTGTAGGCTTTCTGTTCTTTCTATTCTTGAAACCCAGCTTTAATCTGTGGTGGTTTGATAGGATGCTGGGGCTTATTTCAATTTTCTTGTATCTGTTGAGACTTGCTTTCTGACTGAGTATGTGTTCAGTTTTGGAGAATGTTCCATGAAAAGAAGGTATATTCTGAGAAGAAGGTATATTCTTTTGTGTTTGGGTGAAATATTCTGTAGATATTTGTTAGATCCATTTAGTTCATAGTGTCTGTTAGCTACAGTATTTCTATGTTTAGTTTTTGTCTAAATGACCTATCCATGGGTAAGAGTGGTTTTGAAATCTCCTACTATTCATGTATGAGGCTCAATGTGTGATTTCAGCTTTAGCAATTTTTCTTTTACACATGTGAGTGCCTTACATTTAGGACATAAAAGTTAAGAATTGAGGCATCATCTTGGTGGACTTTACATTTGATAAGTATGAAGTGTCTTTCTCCATCTCTTTTGATTAATTTTGGTTGGAAGTATATTTTGGTAGATATTAGAATAGCTATATCAGCTTGCTTCTTGGAGCCATTTGCTTAGAAAATCTTTTCCCAAACTTTTTCTTTAAGGTAATGTCTATCTTTGAAGTTGAGTTGTATTTCTTGTATACAAAAGGATGGAACACCTATTCTGTTAGACTGTGTCTTCTTATTGAAAAGTTGAGGCTGGTGATATTGAGAAAAACCAATGCCAATGATTATTAATTCTTGTTATTTTTTAGGTGGTGGTGATGGTGGTAGTGTGGTGTGTGTGTGTGTGTGTGTGTGTGTGTGTGTGTGTGTGTGTGTGTGTCCGTCCCTTCTTTTGGGGGATTATTTATTTCCTGTGTTTTCTTTCTTTCTTTTTTTTTTTTTTTTTGGTTTTTCAAGACAGGGTTTCTCTGTGTAGCTTTGCGCCTTTTCTGGAACTCGCTTTGGAGACCAGGCTGGCCTCGAACTCACAGAGATCCCCCTGCCTCTGCCTCCCAAGTGCTGGGATTAAAGGCATTCGCCACCACTGCCTGGCTATTTCCTGTGTTTTCATGGGTGTAGTTAATCTTCTTGGGTTGGTGTTTTCCTTTTATTATCTTCTGTAGGGCTAGATTTGTAGATAGATAGTGTTTAAATTTGACTTTGTCATGCAATATCTTGTTTTCTCCATGTATAGTGATTAAAAGTTTTGCTGGGTATAGTAGTCTGGGCAGGCATCTGTGTTTTTTTAGAGTCTGAAAGACATCTGTCCAGACTCTTCTGGCTTTTAGAATCTCTGTTGAGAAGTCAGGTGTAATTATAAAAGGTCTGCCTTCATATGCTACTTGGCCTCTTCCCCTTGTAGCTTTTAATATTCTTTCTTTGTTCTGCATATTTAGTGTTTTAATTATTATGTAATGGGGTGACCTTCTTTTCTGGTCCAATCTATTTGGTGTTTTGTAAGCTTTTTGTACCTTTATCAGCATGTCCCCTTAAGGTTAGGACTATTTTCTTCTATAATTTTGTTGAAAATATTTTTGAGCCTTTGAGCTGGGTATCTTCTCCTTCTTATATTCCTACTATTCTTAGGTGTGGTCTTTTCATAGTGTCCCAGATTTCCTGGACCTTTCATGTCAACAACTTCTTAGATTTAACATTTTCTTTGACTGATGTATCATTTTCTTGTATCGCAGCTTCCACATCTGAGATTCTCTCTTCCATCTCTTGTAGTCTGTTGGTGATGCTCCTGTCTGTAGATCCTGTTTACTCACCTAGATTTTGCATCATCAGGATTCCCTCAGTTTGTGTGTTCTTTCTTGCTCCTGTTTATGTTTTCAGATCTTGGACAGTTTTATTCATTTCCTTCACCTGTTTGTTTGTTTTTCTTGACTTTCTTTAAGGGATTTATTCATTTACTGCAATTGTTTGTTTA